GGAGTACAAAGGGAATTGCGGGCTGAAAATTTGGTTTGGCTGTCTCCGAGAGGAGATTCAAGTTGAAGACGACATTTTGCAGAGGTCTTAAATTAATGGTTAACAGCTCTTTACAGAGAAATCTAGGATTTCCAAAGACATTGAAAAATCATTTTGCGAAAATTTCCCAGTGTTCGCGGAATACCTCGTAAATCTGTTTCGCGAAAAAAAAATCGGAAATTTCACAAAAAATGCAAAAATTTTGCATTTTTAGCAAATAGCAGAAAACCATCAAATGGCAACAATCATTTTTCAGTTATAAAAAACAGGAATGAATCAATTAATTTTAAATGACAAAGGTTAAAAGGGTATTATACCCAAGGAGTATGGAATAGAAGGGAGTTATAAATTTCGCGGCCCGCCCTACCATGTGATTTAATATTAATTTTAGATTTTCTATGAAATGTTGTTCCAGGGCCCAAAAGGTGATAAAGCACAAATATGTGAAGTACACCTGCAGTATGGAATTGGAAACAGTACAACAAAATGGCCGTTTTACACTTTCTTCTAGTAAATTCCACTCTAATATATATTCTATTCTCTTTGACAAATACCCCATATACAATAATCTATTCTGAATATTTCTTATTCAAACGAGCTACCGTCTGCAAAGCAATTGTATAAATCATATGGTAGGGCGGGCCAGGTCATTGAAAGGACATTGAAATAACACCAACAGACTATAACGTTGTTTTTACATTAGTTGTTTTAGACCCTAAACTGTTCAAAAATTTCTTTAATCTCTGAAAGATAAATTGATTAAGAAAATGTGGGTTTTAAAAACCAATTAATTAAAATTAAATTAGAATAAATTTTAAGAATTATCTTATATTAAAGGGGATGTACACGGAATTTTCAGTGTCCCTCCAATTAAAGAGGGTTGAGCCCATGCTCACTGCAGACTAGTCGGAAGGAGGTGCAACTTTGGGGCCTCGTCGTATTTGACATTTCACATAAGCATGAAAAAAACGTACAATACAGCGCAATAAAAATTAACCCTATTTAGATTTTCACAACATATATTTAAATCATATTGTTATGCTTAAAAACTAGATTGGATGAACTTATTAATATCTGAAAATTAAAATCATTTTTTGAAATATCATAATTTTAATTAACATTATGCTTTTCAATTCTATTCAAAGAAATCATAATAATTTTCTTCTGTTTACAAGAATATCATTATTATTTCGTTTGTAAAGGGAGTCAGGGAGGTCCAATAAGGATGGGAAACTTGGCGACTTTAAAGTCGTCTTTTTTTTTGGGGGGGGGGGGGCCCAGTATACCCACTTGGATGCGACTTCGAAAACGTCTGTATGGAATTTACATTGTATATTACTTATTTTGTTCTCTGTAAAATCATTAACATGTTGAGCTAATTTCATTAGAGCAGAAGACTTAGGAATCATTCTATTGAGTTCAGATTGTCTTTAGTGTCATCCTTTGTGAGTAACCAGAGTTGGGAACTTTAGAATGGATAAAATTTAATCCTGACTTCTTGATCCAAATATCCACTGTGGAAACTTTTAATTTTTGTCCTGATCCACTCTTTTTCTCTCTCCGTGGATATCCGTTAATGGTTTTCTCCAATGAGAATATTTCTGTTCTCTCATTGGTTGCCCGCTTTTCTCTGATTGGCTGCTACAGTTTCTCAGATGATTAAACATTAATTTAAATTTTATCGTTTTTCATACATTTTTAAGATAATCTTGCAAGGTATCCATCCTTTTCAACATCCATCCTTAACCTGTACTATCTATAGAAACAAGCTGTCATGGCAAGCTGTCATAGAGAGAGAGAATTAAAGAAATATTATCCGGTATTCGCGCATTCTTAGGAGTTTTATCTATCCCCCCCTCCGCCAAGATAAACCCCATGCCTAAATAATATAACTGCCGCGATATTAAAGAGAGAGAGAAGGGGGGGCTGTGGCCACAACTTTTTAAACTCTTTCTAGCTCCTGAGCCCGTTCTCTTAATGGAAATTGTTGGTTTAGTTCAAGTGCTTTGGGGGACGAAATGTTGGCCGCTAGAAGTCTCATGCTTATCTGATATAGATATTTCTCTGTACATTTGACGACCAATATACAGGGTGTCCCAATAAACATGGGAATTCAGTGACGAATTTGATATCGTCTTTTTAAATAAGTTTATAATTTAGTATAGTAATACCTATTGAGAAAGTTGTAATTTGTAAGAGTTTCGTCTGCTATGTTCACATTTTGTTTGTTTATGTTTTGACTGCATACGGTTGTTCTTAGTAAAGCAAGAAAATTGCAGTATACAAACAGAGTAAACTTGTCCGTCTTCACTGTTCATCTTGTAGAGATATTATAGACACATCTTTACAGTCTTTTACCCTTTTCTTAAAATAAACTCTAGCAGACATAATAATATTATGGGTTTTGAAGTTAGGTATTACATTGCTAATTCATAACAAAGACGATATCGAATGAGTCACTGAATTCCCATGTTTTTTGGGATACCCTGTAGGAGACGTCAAGTTGTCGACAAATGTAGTTAATGGAAGGGACAGCCACTGAAACTTGATATGAAGAGATATTTAAAGGATTCAAGAAAAAATCTAGAGAATTTATTCATTACGAGATAATTTTCAAATGGCGGCCCTGATTTTTTTATATAAAAATTAACATTAGTTTAATTAGCTTTCTTAGAAAATATTGGAAGCAGGCGCCACACACATTGCACCATATATTTACATCAGAAGATTTACAACATTTTTATTTCAAGATTGTGCGCAAAATATATATTTCAATAAAGTGCACAAAATGTATATTTCAATAAAGTGCACAAAATATATTTCAAAAGGGTGCACACTGCACGACATATATTTCTTCAATAAAATTTAACAAATGACAAGAGTGTAAATTTTCAACATTAGAATTAATAAATTAACTAAAATAATCAACCTGAGTCTAAAACTAAAGAACGAAAAGTTTTGACTTAAATTTTAAGTTCATGGTTAAATGCCACTTCTGACTTAATTTAAACCCGAACTTTAACCGTGAGGTTAAATATTTAAACCTGTGGTTAAATATTTAACTCGCCGAAATTTTGAAATCAAACAAGCAGATGAGAACTTCAGAATTGGATACCCTTAATCCTGATGGCTAAATCTGAATATCCAATCTCTCCTGCTTAATCCACTCTTTTCCTATCGTTTTAGATATCCATACCCTACAGGCCTACATATCATTACCGGATTTTAAACAATGAGTGCTCTCTTATTAAAAGGCGAGCAAAAACACAAAAATACCGGCTTCGGATTGGCTGTTTGGGATTCTGCATACGCCACTCTATTGGTTGAATTTTATACACTTTTCCGGATAACAACCTCAGATTAAATTAATCTTGAGATTAATAAAAAGAGGAAATCAAACTTTGATCTCAATATCCACAATTCTGAAGTTTAAAGCTCAAAGGAGAAAAAAATGTCAACAATTGTCGATTACATTAGAAAACTGTATAAAAATAACAGATCATCTAAGCCAGGCCACACTTGAGCCGATTATATTCTTAACATGGCCGCATTTTGAGGAATAAAAAAGTTTGCATTTAGAGGGGGCTCTCATGAGAGAACGATAAATGTAGCTCAAATGAGGAATTGAAGTGACTAAGAACCTGCAATCCCTCCCTCAGCTAGAGCTTCAACAATGTTGGATCAACATGAACCCGAGTCAAAAGGGTTACCAACAAAGAATGAGACTTTGAAGACGACCTAAAACTTAAAAAATATAAAGAAATTATTGTTGTCCTTAAACTGTGAAATAAAACTAGCCTTTAAAAGAGAGTACAACAGAACAGGTGCAAGAATGCAAGTAAAAACTAATAAGACAATATATTCCGTACAGGCGTCTAAAAAATCTAATTTTTAGTGGGTAACCGACGACCGTGTACGTTTACCAAATACAACAATTAATTCATAAGATTCTACGAAACTTGTGGGGACAACAAAATACAGAAGTTTGGTCCGAACATGTTGTAAAAATACATAAAGTGCTCGCAATAGAAAGTGAGCTGATTTTTGGGTTTTTGATAAATTCGAGCTTTTTGGTCTTCAGTTAGTACTTGAGTCTTGAGATATTTTTTTGGGCAAATTCGGTAAACATCTTCCCGCTTGAATCCGGATCCAGATCCAGGACGCCAAAATGTTACAAATTCAATTGATCCGGATCCTAGGCACTGTAAAAAAGGGAGAGAGTGCAATGAAGAATAAGTTTAACTGAAAATACCAATTTAAACTTACTATCCCTAAATAAATTGCTTAAATTAAATCAATAAAACCCGCAAATCTTCAATATTTATTCCAAAATACCAATTAGTTTGGAAAAATATCCAAAAATGTTGAAAAAGGAATTACTCCTGAACCTGAATAGTTCGAAAAAAATATTTTATTTGACCCCCTGACCCACGCCAGCGGCCGGCCAACTCCCGTCCTCGAAGCTTCAAACTTCGCCGCTCCGTGCGACGCGGGCGAACAATGCCGTTCGGTTTGGTTTGGACGGAAATGCTTTCTACTTGTGAGGTTTCTTCGGTCAATGGCACCCCCGTCAGAGGACGCAGGCCCCGGTACTGTTTCCGGTTTAGCTTTGCGGATGGCAAACTTTTGGTTTTAGGGGCATGAACATTGGCTGTTGGAATTTCAGAATTTATTTCCGGTTCCTTCCAGAATTTTCTAGATTCTTCTATACAAAACTTGTGCTTTCTCTTCTTCAGTCTAAAAACATGGAAAAGTTAGAAATATTGTTCTGAGAGTTCTCATATTTAAAAGCTATTTAGTAAAAATCCATTCCCAATTATCCCCCCACGCTCATTAGAAGCAGCAAATGCCAAGGCAGAGTGTGATTTACGTTGTGTTCAATGCCCCGGAAAATTCCAAAACAGAGAGAGGGGAATTGAATTTTAAGACAGGGTTGACTTTGAAGTGTCCCAACGCCCTAAGCTTACAGTTTACTGCTCTATCTTACTTATGCTTTTCTGTAGCCCTTTACTATGTACATTTTAGCACTATAAAGCACTTGTTGTTAGCTTTAAATTTTTAGAAGTAATTGGCAAAATTCTCAACAATTTTTGCTTGAGAGCGAAAGACCATTAAATCGCAGTGGCAGTGGTGCACACTAAATGCGATAATTCCTGAGGCATTCCGCTGGAAAAATGGAGTGATTCAGCGAAACTTTCCTAATACGCCACTCCTACAAACCCTTATCCACATCTCCACTCTCCTTTACCTACCATCTAATCTCTCACAAGCAGCGAAATGAGACTCTAAGACATTTCTCTGTTGGATCCTACAACAAAATTACCTCTGAGAGGGTCACTTAATTATCCTTCTTTGAATAGCAACCCTCCTTGATCAGGAAAGTAAAAATGTGCGGTTCATAGCAGAGAAGCTATTGCTCACTCGCTGTAAATAGAAACTAACTTGAAGTACTAGAAGTGGTGACCTAGCCAATGCAAGTGGGCAGAATGTACAGAGCTGAGGCTGCAATTACAATTAAGCAAAACAAAACAAAAACGGCGAGGGGGACATCTATACATCGAAAGAATGATCGTGCACTGTGATCGTGCAAAGACAGCGACTCGCAAACATTCGTTCAAATGCCATTATTGGTCGGGCAAAGGGAGTCAAGAAACAGAGAAACTGCGGACATGCAGATAGAGAAAGGAGAATAAAGATCGTTGATGGCTCGTACCATTTTATTTTATAAAAATTATAAAAAACATTGTTAAATAATAGAGGACATTTGATTAGAAGCATAGGGGTGATTATTTGATTTGATTTGATTAAATTTGATTAGAAACAGAGGGAGGGGGTGTACTATACATATACAGTAAGTTGAAATTGCAAACCGGAAACCGGTTTTTTTGAAATTTTAGGTTGAGCAAAAAATATTTCTTCAAATACATTAGTTATAATTGAAGACAATCCGAAGAGAAGACAATCCGAAAAAAGCTTCGCCGCAGAATTTCGATATGTCTTAAACACTGAATCCACAAATTCTAAAATCAGCAAAATCTGTTAATAATTTAAAAAATTAGAGGCAAAAAACTGATATTTAAGACAAATAAATGGCAGATTTCAAAAAATCAGTTTTTTTGGTCAAACATTAAACTTTTTAAAAAATATTGAAACAAAAATATAAGGACAGTATTCACGGCTACAGAAAACTCTTTGTATACCAAATTTGATGTGTTCTAAACTTACTAGTGACTTATAGGTTTTTAAATTGCTAAATATCAATTGTGGTCACGGTTTTCAGACCCAAAAGCCTGAAATTCCGCAAAAACTCTTGTCATTATGAGCACATGACATCTACGATGGAAGGTTGGGGGGAGGGTCAATTCTGAAAAGAGTAAAAAATCAATCACCCTTTGTATATAGTGCTGTTCCAAATAAACCAGAATAATTTATAAATTGAAGACTTGAAAAACCTAGAAATTGCAACTTAATTTTTGCCTTTATCATATACGAAACAATGTTCTCAGAATAGCCGTAGTCCCGGTATCTCCAAAATGTGGTCAGCCTAAATGTTATATATTTCCTTAAAAATTCATGAGCCCCAGTTTATTAGACAAAATTTAGGGGTTATTTCACTGATTCAAGTTTTATTGGTTGAGATGTATAAATTATGCCAGTTCTTTCAATCATTTACATTTCTTTGTGATAATCTCCGCAAAAATTCATTTATTCATCCGAAATTAAGCAAATTGATTTTTTGAAAACTTAGTCTTCCGTACATACCTAATTTAAATATAATTTTTTCTTGTTTTCCTCCCACTGCAGTGAAATAAATACGATTAAAGGGAAATCTGATAATACCGCTTTAAAATATTTTTTTCCCTCAAAATATAAATATCTATATTCTTTATATTATCACATTAATATAGTTAATGTAAAAACATTATTCTATTATTTTATTATATTATTGTGTTATTATAATATTGAAATATTGTAATATTGTATCATTATATATTTATATATATCCTCTAGGTTAAATTTGTTCTAACTTTAATCTCTTAAATATGATTTCAAACTAAAGTTAAATCAAGAGATTGTTGTTGCTTACAGATAAGTTTCTGATATTTGGATAAAAAGAGTACTACTCTCATTTCGCGAAAAATAAAAACTTTTAAAACAAAAATTTTAACAGTTTGTCAACAATATTGCTTAAAAAAATCTACTAATTTTCAATTTTCAAGAAAAAACAAAAGCTTCAAATTAATAATCATGGGAAAAAAATTTCCTGCTAAATAAGAAGGAAAGCAAAATATTAGAAACAAAATTGAAAACTTTGATATTGAAAAAAGAAAAAGAAGTATGATTGTACCTAGTTCTCCACCTAGTGAGGTCTTCTAATTGGAGTTTTCTGTTACATAATATATTCCTAGCCTGTCTCAATCTTTCACTGCACCCTACAAAATAAAAATATTAATCCACTGCACCCTAAAATATCAAAATATTAGTCCGATGCACCCTATAATGTCAATTTATTCATCCACTGCACACCTAAAATATCAATATACTAATCCACTGCACCCTACAATATCAATATATTAATCCACTGCACCCTATAACAATATTAGTTTTGTGAACAGTTGTATAAATGGGATTTAATCTAGCTAAGTTAATTTTGTGAACAGTTTTATAAATGGGATAGAATCTAGCTTATTTAATTTTGTGAACAGTTTTATAAATGGGATAGAATCTAGCTTAGTTAATTTTGTGAACAGTTTTATAAATGGGAGAGAATTTAGCTTAGTTAATTTTGTGAACAGTTTTATAAATGGGATAGAATCTAGCTTAGTTAATTTTGTGAACAGTTTTATAAATGAAATAGAATTTAGTTTAGTTAATTTTGTGAACAGTTTTATAAATGGAATAGAATTTAGTTTAGTTGATTTTGTGAACAGTTTTATAAATGGGATAGAATCTAGCTTAGTTAATTTTGTGAACAGTTTTATAAATGGAATAGAATCTAGCTTAGTTAATTTTGTGAACAGTTTTATAAATGGAATAGAATTTAGCTTAGTTGAATTTGTGAACAGTTTTATAAATGGGATAGAATCTAGCTTAGTTAATTTTGAGAACAGTTTTATAAATGGAATAATATTTAGTTTAGTTAATTTTGTGAACAGTTATATAAATGGGATAGAATTTAGCTTAGTTGATTTTGTGAACAATTTTATAAATGGGATAGAATTTAGCTTAGTTAATTTTGTGAACAGTTTTATAAATGGGATAGAATTTAGCTCTCATGATGGAACGGAATCTAATTTAGTTGAGAAGCTGTGAAAGTCAAGAAATCCTTTAATAACAAGAAATTGACCACGGGTTTCATGTTTGCTCAGAATCTGTCAAATAGGCGGATTTTACAGAAAATTCTTGCAAAATGAAGACATCTTAACTAGGACATATCATGGCCAATTTCGTGGTAGTCTTTATTGTACAGATTTAAATCGCCTCTGTATTTGTAAACGTTAGGCACAGGCTTCAGGGAGGGTCTTAACTAAACTTTTTTCAATTCTGGTAATCTTTTGTCTGTATATATGTTTAGTGCGACAGAATAGGCCATTTTATCAATAGATTAGCCATCAGAAAAACTTATCCTTTTCTTCCTACTGGGTGTTAATTTGACGACCTCAATATCCTTAACCAAGAAGATTACCCCCTGGACAACATCATTTATAGTGCAGAAGTAGATTAAAGTTGGCAGAGAAGATTGGAAATCCTTAAACTTTGTATTTTCCTCTCTCCCTTAGTATGAAAACTCTATAATCCTCAAACCAGGGGGAGAAAATACATCTGGGGCCAGAAATTCACCCCTGTCATTACATTTTTGAAAAGTAACTGTAAGATTTCGATACAAATATTAAAAACCAGTAATTTTGAAATGGTTAACTAGCGAAAATCTAGAAAAAAAGGAACAGAAAATTAAAAAGAACGAAAATGATTGGTTGTAAATTACCGGCGACTTAAATGAAGGTGGGTGGAGTTGGATTAGGCATAGTTATAATGGGGAGCAGATTTAAATCCGTTAACTGTAAAAAACGTCACAGTGAAACTAGCTAGGTTTCCTCTTTCTAGGCGTCGTAAATAACAACTAGGTTTCCTATTAGTAAGTTTTCAAAGCATTAAACATTAACATTTTCCGCCTTCGCGCATTTCTTAAATATTAATTTGCGGATTACCAGAGCAAAGAACAAAAATAAATCCCTTGATCTTGATATATAGCCAATAAGCTATTCATAATTCAAGCATAAAACGTATTACTCTCTGGAAAATTCAAACAGTGTTTAAACATAACTTAGAATTGTCGTAGGAGGCTGATTTATTGCATGCAAACTCAGAATTATGTATATTACATGCATTTTTTGGTTTTGAAGGAATCTGAGCAAAAGTGCGCATGCGCGCGCGCGTGCTTTTTGTGAAAAAATGCGACTTTTTGACAGTGAATCAATGTTAACTTCATTAATTGCACTTGAAAATTTTTCCTGACACTCTTGAAACAAATATGCGCTAAAAAAATTCAACCCCAAAGGCTTAAATGTCCGCGCACGCGCGCAATAAAAGAAAATATCTTTGAACACTTATGTGCTAAGTTTGGCCCAAGTTAGAATAACAGTTGCATGTGATACATCAAACTATAGCAAAATTGGGACAAGGAATTCATTTCCGAGGTCAAATTGAACATTGGAGCATTCTGACCGGCGCGCTAGTAGCCAACCAATACATTATGGGTCATCTTAGTACATTTTTATATGTTGTACGTCGATTTTTAGGTAATTTGGCATGAGAAATTCATTTCTCAGGTCAAAATAAATATTAGAGGAATACATCTACGTGGAGTAAATCACAAGCATATCATTCTGATTATGTGGGTTATCCTACCAAATTCCAGGACATACCAGAAGTCATCTTCAAATTTACAAATTTACAAGTTGTACCAGCCTCATATATTTAATCTTTTCTTTACATACTTCTAGATTCGACCAATTTGAAGATAACTTCTGGTATGTCCTGGAATTTGGTAGGGTAACCCACACTATCAGAAGGCTATGCTTGTGATTTACTCCACGTAGATGGATTCCTCTGGTCTAATACCTGATATACAACCTGAACAAACATTAGGAAAATGATTCATTTCTAACATCATTCTTCTTCTTGTTCTTAAAAATTATTATAATGAAACTGACAGCTACTGGCGCGCCGGTCAGAGTGCTCTTATATTTATTTTGACTCAGAAATGAATTCCTCATGCCAAATTACCTATAACTCGACATGCAACATGTAAAAAATGTACTAATATGACCCATAATGTAATGGTTGGCTACTAGCGTAGATTCCTTCAAAACCAAAAAATGCACGTAATATACATAATTCTGAGTTTGCATGCAAAAAATCAGCCTCCTACGACAATTCTAAGTTATGTTTAAACACTGTTTAAATTTTCCGGAGAGTAATACGTTTTGTGGCCCCCCCCCCTTTTATAAAAAATGTTAGTAAAATAGCTTCCTGTTTCATATTTTGATTTTTCTTGTAATTTTGAAGTTAATGTTTTTTTTAAATTAAACATTAAACTAAGAAATTTCTTAAAATTCTCTGACCAGCAAAGTTATAAAGTTATTAAAACAACATTAGCTCAATGTTGTTTTAATAATTTAGATGAAAGTTTTTCTTTTTTACTTCTGAGGAAATTGTCCTGAGAGGGGGCTTGACATTTTTCTTTCCAGAGGGGGGGGGCTCAGCACCCATTAGAGACTGAACACACCCTTTAAACCATAGACCGATCCAGGGGGGAGGGGACTCAGCCCCCATATAACCCCCCTCTAGCGAGCTTGACTTCAAAATATCAATTTATCCATCTATGTAACTATCCAGATACCTAAACCTAAACTATATCAAACTAAAAGACCATATATCCATATATTGTTTCTATTTGTATAAGTATAACATTTTTTTATTCAATGGAAACATAAAAGAGAGGACGAAAACTGACCTAAATGAAACGGATTGTTTCTGCCGCCGTAAAATTGTTTTGCTGGTATCAAAGAATCCAATAATCTAGCATCCTCTCCTGGCTTTAGTTCTGGATTTATACCATTCACTAAGCTCTCCGCCACACACCCGTTAATATCTGCCTTCAGACCATTACTCTCCACCGAACCAGCATTAGTGCTGAATTTTGGACTCTCTTTTCCCGCCTGCAGCCACACCTTTTCTTCTGTTAAACGTTCCCTTTCCTCCCTCCATCTTGATTTCTGTTCTTTAAAGCGCATTTTCGCGGATATTAAATCCTTTTCATTTTTATTTTCTCCCTGCTCGCATTTTTCTCTCTTGCGATATTTTCTTTTGGGACATTTTTCTAAAATCACTGCGTCAATCTCCTCTTTCCTAGGTGGCACAATTGACGCGAATTTGACGCACACCTTGGGGAATCCTTTCTCGTGGAGTTCTCTAGCAATCTGGAAAGGAAGGGGTCGAACTACTTCAAGAGGTTTCTCTAGGAGCGGGGAGTGAAGCTCACGCTTTAAAACAGATTGCTTTAAACTTTTCCTTTCTCGAGTTCCGTTCGATGGAACTTTTCCTCTCCTGCTTCTTTCCGAGTTCCTGGTAGGCTGACCCCTTTCCAAGTTCCTGGTAGGCTGACCCCTTTCCGAGTTCTTGGTAGGCTGGGCCCTTTCCGAGTTCCTGGTAGGCTGGGCCCTTTCCGAGTTCCTGGTAGGCTGACCCCTTTCCGAGTTCCTGGTAGGCTGGGCCCTTTCCGAGTTCCTGGTAGGCTGACCCCTTTCCGAGTTCCTGGTAAGCTGACCAGATCTAGCAGTTGTATGTCGTCCTTGTTTCCTTGAGATCTGATGACTAGCTTTAGTAGGTTTTTTGGATTTAATGCAAAGATTAACTGTTTTATTTGGATGGACATGTTTTTGGTATAATTTAGGATTCTTTGTACTTCCAGGAGTTATTGGAGGAGTTGGAGGTGTTGAAGGAGCTGGAGGGGATAATGAAGGAGCTGAAGAGAAGGATGAAGGAGTCTGAGAGGTAACAGGATTGATATTTGAAGGTAAACATATGATCTGGGTCGACTCAACATCAGGGAATTGAAGGACATCCTCCAGAACTGTTCTCTCACTAAATATTAATTGATTAAAATATGTCGAGGCAGGGGAAGGGAGGGGGGGGGGGAGGAAACCCCCAAGAAATGGTCTTATTTTCTCATCTTACCCTCCTCTCCCAATAAAGAAATCGTGTATTTGCCCGTTTCGACCCCTCCACATATAAACCAGAGCTGCAACTTTAGAATTTTGGATATTGAGATTAATGCTTGATCCTCTCTTTTTCTTAATATCGAGACTAACCTAATCTTGTACTTGTATCCTGAAAAGTGTATAAAATTCAACCAATCAGAGTCGCATATATGAAGCAATTTAAGATTATATACAGATACAGGAGAGACCCCCGAAATTAAACAAACAGGTTTTTGATTTTTCTCTAATATATCCAAGAAAGAACAGTTTAAGAAGAAAATCAAGAGTATGTCCATTGGATACTCAGATTAAGTAAGTGGGATTAAGGATATCTCATTCTTAAGTTTTCAGCTCAGGGAAGCTTCCCCCTAGTTGCAACTTTGGTTCTTTGAAAGCTTGAGAAAAATAAAATAGAACGAAAATAAATAAACTTGTATTTTCCATAAATCAAATCAAATCTCTGTTTTGCTCAACACAAATTGTGACGTTTGTACAAAATTACATGTCACTGTCACTAGGGTGGAAAAGTAGTAGAGGAAAATCTTAAATTCAACAAAAGAAGTCCAATATTTACCAACGGAAAAATAATGAATAATAACAGAGAATGATGATTATTTACGATTGAAATAATTATATGAAAAATAAATAAAATTTTTTGCCTGACAAAGCCGTTATCCTTGAGGGCAAAGACCCCCCTGGGAGGGGGCCTTAGATCTGTGAGCCCCCAAAGTCCTTCAAGCGTATGGTTGAATACGTCAAAACTTGTCAATGTAGCCACAATCTTATCCCGTTTCTCCTGATAATGAATTAAATTCTTAAAAAGAAAATAAAAACTTTTATCCAAAGTTATGAAAAAGGCATCAATATTTCAAACAAATTCAGAAATAGAATAGTTTTGAATAAGAAACTGAAAATGAGCCAAAAAGTTATCGAGTCTTAGACCTTGAATGTCCTAAACCCTTTATCGTTTTTACCTGATGGTGTAACCCCTTTTATTTTTATTTTACTAAACTTTAAGTTTGAAAGATATAAAGTCTACGACGTTGGGATGCAAAGATAGAGATTCGAAAATTTGAGTGTGACCAATTTCGTTGTAATTTTTTCTATTATTTTTATTTTTCTGTAAAATTAAAATGATTCCACAAATAAATCCTTTTTTAAACCCAACTTTTTAAACATATAAAAGCCTAAGACTAACTTAAAAATAAATAAACTATAGACTATAGAGCAGTGTTTAATAACTGACTTACTAAATATTTGTAAATAAAACTTTTAGAAGTAAAAAGGGGCGCTTACCTGATTTGAAAGAATATTAAAGGTGCGAGGAAGTTGAAATATATCCCAGCTCTTCAGGATATATTTATATAATTCAGGCAGTGCATGATATCTCCTAAATATTCAGGATATATTTATATATTTCAGACAGTTCATGATATCTCCTAAATATTAGGATATATTTATGTATATCAGGCAGTTGATGATATCTCCTAAATATTAGGATATATTTATAAATATCAGTCGTTCATGATATCTCTTAAATATTCAGGATATATTTATGTATATCAGTAGTTCATGATATCTCCTAAATATTCAGGATATATTTATGTATATCAGGCAATTCATGATATCACTTAAATATTCAGGATATATTTTTGTATATCAGGCAATTCATGATATCTCCTAAATATTCAGGATATATTTATAAATATCAGTAGTTCTTGATATCTCCTAAATATTCAGGATATAATTATATATATCAGACAGTTAATGAAATCTCCTAAATATTCAGGATATATTTATGTATATCAGGCAATTCATGATATTTCCTAAATATTTTGGATATACTTATGTATATCAGTAATTCATGATATCTCCTAAAAAGAGTAAGACCCATAAAACTTTGGAAAATAACGACGACATTTAGGTAATCTTCTGTGTATTTGTTGATGTTATGAACAAATAGTTTACAGAAAGTAAAGATGGGTCCGAATCCAATTTTCAAGTTCTGTGGATCTCACTGTATACATAATACATAAATATCTTGGATATATTTTAAAAACTAAAAAATGAAATTGTGTTACCAATAAAAGATGAAACAAGGATGATCTTTAAACAATGTTACCAATAAAAGATAAAACAAGGATGATATTTAAACAGTGTTACCAATAAAAGATAAAACAAGGATGATATTTAAACAGTGTCACCAATAAAAGATGAAATAAGGATGATATTTAAACAGTATTACCAATAAAAGATAAAACAAGGATGATATTTAAACAGTGTTACCAAAAAAGATGAAATAAGGATGATACTTAAACACTGTTACCAATTTAAGCTGTTACCAATTTAAGATAAAACAAGGATGCTCTTTAAACAGTATTACCAACTAAATGAGCCAAGAATGACATTTTAACAGTGCTACCCATTAAAGATAAGCCAATGATGACCTTTTAACAGTGCTACTTTCCAAAAATCAACCAGTAATAACCAGAAAACTCTGAAATAGGAAGACCACTTAATAGCAAAACTTGAGGGTATTGGATTTTGTTACAATGCAATTAGTTTTACTAGACACTTTTCAAACCACTAATTAAATGGATTGGGTCTGTTTACACTGCACAATTGCTGTGTCCTATGCACACTTGACTATCTTAAGTCGATATATCTTTAGTCTAAAAGTCGTCTTCCCATTCCAGGATTTTCTGATTATCACGGTATAATTTAATAATTAGAGCAATATCCTACCTATCCAGCTTGACTGTGAGATCGAAAAGAGCAATTTGAAGAAACTGTTGCCATGAGACTGGCATGCGTTTCAAGCACTCCATCCCATAGTTACAGAGGGAGCAGGTGAACAAATAGAACGTGTCCCCCTGAAAATATAACTTTCAAATAAATATTTTCTGTCATATCAAGGGAAAAATCTACGAAAACTAGGCCACTGTAAACCAAGATGTAGGTCACCAAGATGTGCACGCTCTCGCGCAAATTTTTTTCTTCCAATTACTCCTTTCAAACTTAAGCTTTTAAAATGTATTTGCCTAGGACAAGGCGTTGTGACACTTGAGAGTAGAGGCTTTTCAAAAATGTTAATACTAATTTTCAGAGTTGTTCATAGGATAGAATCTTAAATATATTCGGAGAGAAAACTATGGAAAAAACTATTCATCCATAATTTCTTCCCCCCCTCAGCATTTAAAATAATGCGGGTGAAGAATCAATATTTTTTTTTACCACCAAATTTAACGTGTAACATCTTTTTTTTGTGTGTTTATGTAAATGGTATAAAAAAGGTCAAACATTCTAATATAATGGATAATATACCGGCCCTTTCCAGTGCACTCCTGCATGTCGGTCCATTAGCGCCTGATCCAATCAGGGTTCAGTCATGTGTTTGTTATCTATTCTGAACCAATAGAAATAGTATGGCGGTGACATCTATCTTTCTATCTATCTCATTATCCAATCAGAGTTATGAATCCTTCCATCGGCGCTTTCAGTAAATATATGTATAACAGTACATTTCAGTACAGTAGAGAATCGGGCTTGCAACTAAGAAAATGGAGAACTTGAAATTATGTCAACAGTTCTCTTTAAATCAATAATATTTTTTTGGATGAATTATCGGAATGTCCGCAAGTCGCAATGCTATTGCCCAATGCCCATGTGCACACTAAATTAAAAGATATCAAACAAGTCCGCTATTCTTATTCCTTGGTTCTTACTTGGAATATGAATGATTTGGATTTATAAGAGAAACTTTTGAAATAATAATAAATATAATAATATCAAACGATAACCTTTATTCGGTAAAAATGTGAGCTGAGCCCTCTGCAAAATAACCGCAAAAACAATGAAATTAAGTTTCAGTTGGTAAATGATTGGAATATATTATCAAAACATTTTAAAAAACCATATATTTTTTATGCACGCAAAGTGTTGTGAATCGTTTTTAACGATTTAAAAAAAATTAATAAAACTTGGAAAATATGATAACTGTATTATGTTTGTTTTGATTTAACTTTGCATTATCTTGACCCTAAAAAAATTGTAAAACCAATCTAAAAACTTATTTAGTCTTTAGATTAATTTCAAGAGATTAAAGATGCGCTCTTAAACTTTTGAATACCCGGTTTTTAATTTTTTTCCGCATTAATATATTAATCAAATCAATTGGTCGATTGAACGAACTTAAAAATTGGATTTATGTTTACTAGTGTTAGGAAAGCATGTTCAGATTAAACTTTTAAGAAATATTTGCTCTTCTTACACTACGCACGCGGTATTTAAAAGGACTCACCTCTTCATTAGATGTGTGGGAGGAGTTCCAAGAGAGATCTTCAAGGTTGTAAGGTCGAGATTGTACTGATGGAACCCTCATTCTTCTTTCAACATCAGATCTTAACAAATTTTGATAAACGTGACAAATGTCCCTATGGGGGATTATGAAAATACAATTAATGATTGATTGAAATACAAACCCTCCCTCCTCTCCCTTATCAGTTTTAAACAAACTTTTTAAAATGTGATTAATGGCCCAAAGAGGTTGTAGAAAATACAAAGATATAAACAAAAACATGATTACTTAATGAGACGTAAGTCAAATGTCTTCCCACTTTGAATATTTAAATCTTAAAAAAAATATTTAAGAACGAAAAAGGAGATTCCTCCTTCCTTTCTTTCAAACCCCCCCCCCCTTCCCAACCACCGGGGGCTTGGATTTTTATACCTCCTATTTCCGGTTGGAATGCTGTCCACCTCCTGCAAGAGTAACTCCTCAACAGGGAATTCTAGGCTCCTCCTCACCTGCGGGAAACATGGGATTATAAAGTTTAAAAAAGTCTTTAAATTTTGCAAGGGAAGGAAGGAATTTCTGGAGAATAGGGGTTGAGGAGTGTATTTGAGGGAAAGGGGTTGAGGGGTCTAGGATTGAAAGGTTTGAGGGGTCTTTGGAGGAAAGGGGTTAAGGATCTATGGTGGAAAGGGGTTGAGGGGTTTATGATGGAAAGGGGACGAAGGGTCTATAGTGGAAAGGGTTGAGGGGTCTATGGTGGAAAGGAGTTGAGAGGTCTATGGTGGAAAGGAGTTGAAGGGTCTATGGTGGAAAGGAGTTGAGAGGTCTATGGTGGAAAGGAGATGAAGGGTCTATGGTGGAAAGTAGTTGAAGAGGTCTATGGTGGAAAGGAGTTGAAGGGTCTATGGTGGAAAGGAGTTGAGAGGTCTATGGTGGAAAGGAGATGAAGGGTCTATGGTGGAAAGGAGTTGAGAGGTCTATGGTGGAAAGGAGTTGAGAGGTCAATGGTGGAAAGGAGTTGAAGGGTCTATGGTGGAAAGGGGTTGAGAGGTCTATGGTGGAAAGGAAATGAAGGGTCTATAGTGGAAAGGGGTTGAGAGGTCTATGGTGGGCAGGAGATGAAGGGCCTATGGTGGAAAGGAGTTGAGAGGTCTATGGTGGAAAGGAGTTGAAGGGTCTATGGTGAAAGGAGTTGAGAGGTCTATGGTGGAAAGAAGTTGAGAGGTCTATGGTGGTAAGGGGTTGAGAGGTCTATGGTGGAAAGGAGTTGAAGGGTCTATGGTGGAAAGGGGTTGAGAGGTCTATGGTGGAAAGGAGTTGAAGGGTCTATGGTGGAAAGGGGTTGAGGGGTCTATGGTGGAAAGGAGTTGAGGGGTCTATGGTTGAAAGAAGTTGAAGGGTCTATGGTGGAAAGGAGTTGAGGGGTCTATGGTGGAAAGATGGTGGAAAGGGGTTGAGGGGTCCATGGTGGAAAGGAGTTGAGGGGTCTATGGTGGAAAGAAGATGAAGGGTCTATGGTGGAAAGGAGTTGAGGGGTCTATGGTGGAAAGGATATGAAGGGTCTATGGTTGAGGGAGTTTTCACCTTACTTTGTTCCTTCCTAATCCATACCTCCTTCCGGATTCTCCTGAACAATTAACATTCTTTATTAGGGTGTCCGGGCCAGGGTGTTTTTTTTTTTTGACGATAAATCATTTTTTTTAAAAGTTGTATTATTGAGAAAATAAATTAGCTTTTAGGAAAAAAAAAAAAAAAAATTTGGATATAAAGAGTCAATAAAAAAAACTTATCTTTTGTATCGAATCTATAATGTTGTGGATCTAATGAATCTAAATCTAGAGATCTATAATTTGTGGATCTAATGAATCTAAATCTAGAGATTTCATTTATAATGTTGTGGATCTAATGAATCTAAATCTAGAGATCTATAATGTTGTGGATCTAATGAATCTAAATCTAGAGATCTAATGTTGTGGATCTAATGAATCTAAATCTAAAGATCTATAATGTTGTGGATTTAATGAATCTAAATCTAAAGATCTATAATGTTGTGGATCTAATGAATCTAAATCTAAAGATCTAGTGTTGTGGATCTAATGAATCTAAATCTAGAGATCCTGATATCTGTAACGTTGTGGATCCAATGGATCCAGGTATAGAGATCTTTCACTGGATCCAATGGATCTATGTCTAGAGATCTTCCACGTTCTTGATCCAGTTGATTCGGATCAAGAAATGTACAACGTTGTGGATCCATTGGATCAGGATCTTAAGCACTGAATTACATTACAAACCTTGGTGGAGAGGAAAAAGGTGTTTGGTCAGAGGCACGAAAACTTGAGGATTTACGAGGTGTCGTGCATTGATTCCTAGAGTTCCTTTTCTTAGGGGTACCTAAAAATTCTAGATTAAAACTAATTTTAGAAAATTGAAAGTCAAGTTACTTTACACTCTCTGTAGTGTGGCCCATATCACCCTTTTGACTCCTAGTTATGATCTGCTTTCTGATTGACCCCCTAGATATGAACTGCTACCTGATTGACCCCTAGTTATGATCTGCTTCCTGATTGGCCCCCTAGATATGAACTGCTACGTGATTGACCCCGGTAGATATGAACTACTACCTGATTGACCCTTAGATATGAACTGCTATCTGATTGACCCCTAGCTATGAACTGCTTCCTAATCGACCCACTAGCTATGAACTGGTTACAAAATTACCCCCCTGGATATGAACTGTAAATATTCCTTTGAAGAAGAGAGTTTTTCAACTGCTTCAAAAAATAACTTGATGGTTCTCAGAGAAAATATATTTCGATATTTTAAATATTCTTCTCAATTCTATACAAAAACAACCATACAATTTTTTAACAAAAAGATAGGAAAAAAATACATTTAATAACAAATATTTTTTAAAACGTAACAAAAAAGGTGGAAAAAGTTTTTTTATATAAAAGTTAATATGGTCAACCTTGAGGTGTAGTGTATAAGTTGGAAATGAATAAAATGTACGAGTACAAGATTCTTGAAGGGGGGGGGGGGAGAGGGAACGAGTCAAAATAAAAAAATTACAGCCAAAATTATATAAAAACAAAAGAACAAATTAAAAAAAAAATTACCATTGGCAAAAAAGATATGAACTGCTTTCTGATTGACCCCCTAGCTATGAACTGTTTCCTAATTGACCTTCTAGCTATGAACTGTCTCCTAATTGACCTCCTAGCTATGTACTGTCTCCTAATTGACCTCCTAGCTATGTACTGTCTCCTAATTGACCTCCTAGCTATGTACTGTCTCCTAATTGACCTTCTAGCTATGTACTGTCCCCTAATTGACCTCCTAGCTATGAACTGTTTCCTAATTGAACTCCAAGCTATGAACCTGCTTCCTAGTCATGAAAAATGTAATTTTTGTATTTATGGAACTTTAAAGATGAAAAAAGTATACAGTGACTGTATCCCCCAAGTTTTCCCTACAAAACAATTAAATAACAGGAAATATGTTTTTAATTAAAAACACAGGAAACTAAGTTAGAGCAGATTAAATAGATTAAAACCGAGGATCTCGACAACAACCAATAAAGCAAAGAACATAAAAAATATACAATGAAATTGAGAACCAGAAAACTAGGGAATAAATGTTTCTGTTCTTTTAAAATTCGGTGATGGTGATGGACCAAACCTCTGTCGAGTAAAAAAAAGTAGACGTTAGTTCCACAGTTATTGAAAATATATTTCGGTCTGGGTTGACCCTCGTCAGTTCTTGAGATTGTTTCTGTCGCAAAGATTTCGTTTACTTAAAGGGACTGACGTTGATCACTTTAAGAAATGAAATGCCGGTTTCAGACCTGTTTGCTTAAAACTGTTCTGATCAATAAATTGGAAGATATGTTCGCCATTTTAATTGTGACAGAAGTCACTTAACAAACAAATCACAATTGGAAATTATAAATTTTAATTTGTTTTGATAAATCTAGGTCTTAACAGTTTATGTAGGTCTTTGCACACAAACCACATCCACTTACCTGTATTTCTGATAAGCTCTTGCACCTCTGAGGATCGCCGACCCTCTACTGTATGACTAGATGATTGCTGACTAATGGATCGTCGGCCCCGCCAGGTTTTGACGAAAGTCGACTTAGGACTATTGTTGTTATAATTTCTCCTAGATTTTACAGATATCTTAGTTTTTAACCGCTTCAATCCACGGAGTTGGTTCAGTTTAAGATCATAATAATTCCGCCGAGTTTCTTTTCTCTCCTTAGATAGAAGGTCCGCCGGACGAAAAAGACGAATTATAAACTCTTTACCAATTTTTGGTTCCCCGCCGTCGTTGGCCGGATGAAATTCGTCCGGGCAAGTGTAAACTTCAGATTCGTCCTTTTTCTTAACCCTTGGACGAACGTGTATCTTTTTTCGTCGTCCTGGGACCAGCTCTAGAATCTGAAGAGGGAACTCGTCCACATCGTCAAGATTGGCCGCCAATTTTTGGATGCATCGACGATTTCGAGGTTTTGCTGACAACTTTGACGTTTCTGAAATAAATTGAAAATTAAATCCCAGCTGCAAACTCATTAAATGTTGTTAAGCTGAAACATAAATTACAAATAGATAAGCATTAATATAGAATGATGATTAAGGTGTAAATTTAAATATATGCTCAATCAATATTCTGAAGTGAGTAAGATTACTTGAGAAATGGTGGATTAAGTAAAAGTTGAAATCGAGAAAAGACAAATAAATAACACCTTGGTAAATGGTGAGGAATAGGAATGTCCATGATTAATATGGTGGTGTGTTATAAAACAAATTAAATTCAAACATTTTCCATGGTCCCCTATACGCTAGAATGGTTCCCTATACGCCAGAATGGTTCCCTATACGCTAGAAGGTTTTCCATGGTCCCTATACGCTAGAAGTTTTTCCATGGTTCCCTATACGCTAGAATGGTTCCCTATAGGCTAGAAGGCTTTCCATGGTCCCTATACGCTAGAAGGTTTTCCATGGTTCCCTATACGCTAGAATGGTTCCCTATACGCTAGAAGGTTTTCCGTGTTCCCTATACGCTAGAAGGTTTTCCATGGTTCCCTATACGCTAGAAGGTTTTCCATGGTTCCCTATACGCTAGAATGGTTCCCTATACGCTAGAAGGTTTTCCATGTTCCCTATACGCTAGAAGGTTTTTCATGGTTCCCTATACGCTAGAATGGTTCCCTATACGCTAAAAGGTTTTACATGGGTCCCTATACGCTAGAAGATTTTCCATGGTCCCTATACGCTAGAAGGTTTTCCATGGTCCCTATACGCTAGAAGGTTTTCCATGGTCCCTATACGCTAGAAGGTTTTCCATGGTCCCTATACGCTAGAAGGTTTTCCATGGTCCCTATACGCTAGAAGGTTTTCCATGGT